CGGGGGGAGGTTGCCTCGGTTGCGTCCGTCGGGGAGGGGAGGGGGGATGAGCGTGGGAAAGGTTGCCTCGCTTTCGTCCGCACGGGGCTATATAAAGGGCCGCCGGGCGGCGCTGCGCCGCAGTCGGGGCGAGGCGGCGAAGGAGGAAGGAGCGGCGCGGAGCAGTGCGTCGAAGCCGGCGGGCCGACCATGCTGCGAGGGAAGGCCGTGGCGCAGCCCGGCGGTTCGAGGGCGGCGAGGTCGGTGCCGCAGAAGCGCGGGCGGTCGCCGTTGTCGGATCTTGTTCTCCGTGCTGTTGAGTTGTGTGCGGCCCGTAAAGGAGCTTCGTTGGCGTTTATTAAGAAAACGTTGGCTATGGAGGGGTACGACGTGGTGCGGAATGGTGGTCGGGTGAAGGCAGCTGTTAATGCTTTGCTTGACAAGGGACTCCTGCAGCGAGTGACAGGCAGCGGCGTCGCCGGTTCATTCCGTATCGGTAAGGAGCGAGTGGCGGGAGCCGGGCGGCGTGGGAGGGCGGCCGGTGAAGCCCGAGGAGGCCGGGGGTCCTGCGGCGGTGGCTGAGGGCGAGTTGTAGGAGCGGGCATGTGGTGGACGGAGGAGTAAATGTTGAACCCAAAGGCTCTTTTAAGAGCCACTCGAGGGGGTTCAGCGGAGGAGCTGGTCATGGGGGTGTGACCGAGGTGGTGCCACCTGCGCTCGGCCGGGCCCGCAGGAAGGGAGCTGCCCCCCCCCCCCCCCCCCCCCCTCGGTTGCCCCGTGGGGTGAAGCAGCAGTAAAAGCGCTGTACCGAGGGGTGACAGCTGATCCGCGTCACTTAAAAGAGCTGCGCCGGGGGAAGAGCGAGGTGTGACTAGAATGGGGTTGTGCTGACAAAAGGGAGATGGCGGGGCAGTGATGGAAGGGGCTGCGCCGGGGGTTGCGTGCTGCCCGTGTGTCACCGAAAGAGCTGCACCGCGGGACAGGCGAGGGGGTAATAAAGGAGCTGTGCTGGGGGTGGTCGCTGACTGGAGTCTCTCAAACTACCGAGGGGCGGGCGAGGTGTGAATAAAAGGCGCTGCGCCGAGAAAAGGGAGAGCTGGGTGGTGATGGAAGGGCTGCGCCGGGGGGTGGCCGCCGCCCCGTGTCACCGAAAGAGTTGCACCGAGGGACGGGCGACGGAGAAGTAATTTTATCGGGGATGGCTGGCGAGTGGAGTCGCTAAGAACTGTACCGAGGGGCCGGCGAGGCGTGAATAAACGGGGCTGCACCGAGATAAAGGCGATGGCAATAAAGGAGCTGCCCCGAGGGGTGGTCGCCGCCCCGTGTCACCGAAGGAGCTGCACCGAGGGACGGGCGAGGCGGCATGGGAAGGGGCTGCACCGAGGGACGGGAGGTGCGAGGGGGTAATAAAAGCGCTGCAGCGACGGGGGGGGGTTGGTGCCCGGGTGTCACTGTGAGCGCTGCGCCGAGGGACGGGTGAGGGGGTACCGATTTCCTCGGGGATGTCTGCTGGCAGGAGTCGCTAAAGACTGCACCGAGGGGCCGGCGAGGTGTGAATAAAAGGAGCTGCACCGAGGTAAAGGCACTAAAAGAGCTGCGCCGAGGGGTGTTTGCCGCCCCGTGTCACCGAAGGAGCTGCGCCGAGGGACGGGCGAGAGAGTAATAAATGAGCGGCACCGAGGGGTGGCCGCTGAGGGGTCGAGAGAACGGCGCCGAGGGGGTGATAAGAATGTCACCGGGGATGGCCGCCGATTGGAGTCGCTAAAAACTGGACCGAGGGGCGGGCGAGGTGTGAATCAAAGGGGCTGCGCCGGGAAAAGGGAGAGCTGGGTGGTGGTGGAAGGGCTGCGCTGGGGGGTGGCTGCCGCCCCGTGTCACTGAAGGAGCTCCACCGAGGGACGGGCGAGGCGTGAATAAACGGGGGCTGCACTGAGGGAAGGGACATCGGAAGGGGCAATAAAAGAGCTGCACCGAGGGATGACCGCCGCCCCCGTCACCGAAAGAGCTGCGCCGAGAGAGGGGCGAACCGGTAATAAAGGAGCTGCACCGGGGGCCGGCCGCCGACTGGAGTCGACAGAACGGCACCGAGGGGCTGCACCGAGGTAAGGAGATGGCAATAAGAGAGCTGCAGCGAGCGGTGGCCGCCGCCCGTGTCACCAAAAGAGCTGCACCGGGGGGCGGGGGAAGGGGCTGCGCCGAGGGATGGGACATCGGAAGGGCAATAAAAGCGCTGCGCCGAGGGACGGGTGCGCTGGCAAGGAAAGGAGCTGCGCTGAGGGACGGCAGGTGTGCGGGGGCAGCGAACGAGCTGCAGCGAGGGGTGGCCGCCGCCCCGTGTCACCGAAGGAGCTGCACCGAGGGACGGGCGAAGCGGTAATAAAAGCTGCACCGAGGAAAGGGACATCGGAGGGGGCAGTAAAAGAGCCGCACCGAGGGTGGCCGCTGCCGCGTGTCACCTTAAGAGCTGCACGGAGGGATGGGCGAAGCGTTCACAGCTGCGCCGAGGGGTGGCTGCCGACTGGAGTCGCCCAAAGTGCACCGGGGGGGCGGCCGAGGCGCGAAGAAAAAGCGGCTGCGCTTTAGGGGTGGCCGCCGCCCCGAGGCACCCAAAGAGCTGCACCGAGGGACGGGCGAGGCGCGACGATCGGTTCCTCCCAGCGGGCCGGAGCCGGAGCCCCCTTCCAGCGGCGGAGGAAAGCTGCGGCTGCGCGGCCCCGTGACAGCCGGGGGGGCGGGGGCGGGGTTCTCAATCAGGTCCGCTGACGGCGCATGCACGGGCAGAGTCCGGCAGCGCAGTTCTCAACCAGGTCCGCAGCCGCCTCGTCACCCACGGATCGGCACCCGCGTCCCGCTGCCTCCTCCCCTGCCCCGCAGAATCAATAAATACCTTAACGTTTATCTCATGCACTAAAATTCGAGTTTGGGTTTGTTTTTTTTTTTTTAATTTTTTATCTCATCACCTTAATGGCGAGCAGCAGCAGCAGCATTTCAGCACCTCAAGACCAGTCTCGAATTAAACAGCTGGGGCAACTGCTGGAGGCAAAGTTGGGCAGAGCCCGGGCTTTTGTGGGATCATCTGCCGGCTTCTGCAGGATCCGGGCTGGGAGAGAATCTAAAACCCGGGGATCTAAAGTAGTTTGTGTCTCGGGGGACAGAGGCAGCTCCCAGGTGTCCGGGGGGAAAGGCGGCATCTCGCAGAGCCCGGCTCTCGTGCCCGTGTCCTGCATCTCCCAGGGGAGGCTCCGTCCTTCCCGGGGCTCTCCGGCCTTCGGCCCGCTCCTCCTCATCCCACCTCGTGCTTGTTCTTGTCCCCCAAGAGCTGTGGGAGAGGAGCTGCCTTCGCTGCGGGAAACCCAGGTGGGTCAGCGGCAGAGCCCCAGGGAGGCTGAGGCCGTTTTGGGGGCAGGAAAAAAGGGACCACAAAACCCCCTTTTCCTCTGCGTGGGCAAAGTTCCCCGTTCCCGGCTTCGTTCCGGGTCTCCCCGGGTCGGGAAGGAGGTGGGGAGGTGAGCGTGGGGCTGCGCCCGCTGCTGCCTTCCCTTGAGCGGCCGCCTCTGCCTCCCAGAATACCTCTGGCTTCTCCCAAAATAACCGAATCTTTCCAAAATAACTCTGAATTCCCCCTAAAATAACTGAATTCTCCCAAAATAACTGAATTCCTCCCCAAATATCTCTGAGTTCTTCAAAAATATCTCTGAATTCCTCCCAAAAGAACAGAATTCTTCCCAAAATGCCTCTGAATTGCTCCCAAAATACCTCTGAATTCTCCCAGAATAACCAAATTCTCCCCAAATACCTCTGAATTCCTCAAAAAAATACCTGAATTCTCCCCAAATACCTCTGAACTCCTCCCAAAAGAACAGAATTCCTTCTAAAAGAACAGAATTTCTCCCCAAACACCTCTGAATTTCAGTTTCCCCCACGAACAGCACCAGGTGCCGCCTCTTGCCCACCAAGAAATTACAATATTTTCGCTTCACACCGTTTTTTGGGGGGGAAGAGGCCCGATGGGCCGGAGCGAGACCCTCTCACCTCGCAGGTCTCGGCGGGCTCCCCAAAAACCCTTCGTGCCCGCAGCCCGCAGCTGCTTGCCCATCACCTTTCTGTTTTCCCCCCTCCCTCCCCAGCACCTACGCTGCGAACGTCAATGGCCTTGAAATGGGGGGGGGGGGGAAAAATAAAGGTGCAATCGGAGGGTGCAGGAGGCGTCCGAGCCCGTCGTGGCCCCGTCTGCGGGCGGGAGATTGGGGCTCTCCTCCCTTCCCAGCTGATAAAAGCTGGCGGAGGCAGAGACGGGACCGAGCTTTCGCTGAGCCTGTGCCAGGGAGAGGGGGAAAAATCCCAAGAGGGGAAAAAAACCCCAAGAGGGGGGAAAAAACCCAAGCGGAGAAGCAGTCGGTGGAGGAAAAGCAGCCAGAGGAACCCCAAGACGGCGCCGGTGCCACCAAGGAAAACCCCGAAAGGTTTGCGAGAGGGGAAAATCCCAGCGCTGCCGGGTGGGTAACATCACCCCGCCGTCTTTTGGGGGAAAAAGGGGGATTTTGAGCACTCGCCCCATCCCATCACCAAGGGAAGGAAAGCGGATTTCGACTTGCTTTGCCCTCAGGAGCTTTGTTTCGGTTTTAAAGGTGTTTTGCAGTCATTGCTCCTGGTTATTATTTGCTTCTCATCTACCGGTAACGACCCGGCTGGGGAAACCTGGGTGAGAAACAACGCGGCTCCTGCTTTTATCTTAATTTAAGGGTGATTTTCCCACCTTTTTCCTACTTTGACTCATCCACCCACTGCTTTAATTCCCCCCTCTGCAGTTTTGCCGGGGAAAGCCTGCAGAAAAGAAGCAACCTGTTTATTTTTCAGCATCGCGGCGTGGTTTATTCAACCATTTGGGGGCTTTATTCCTAATTTCCAGTGCCCTTTACCGCAGGCAACCCCTTGCTTGCGCTCAAAGCCCCACGCCGGGTTTCGGAGGACGGATTCGAGGCCCTTCGACACCGGCCCTTATCTCCCCTGTGCACATTTTCCAGCAACAAATTTCTCCACCTCTCGCAGGATTTCTCTGGATGCGAGAGCTGGACTCGCCTTATCTCCATTTTAAGGATTTTTCCTCACTTAAATAAACCTTGTTGGATTTGATTGCCCCAGAAAATGAATGGTGGGGGCAGAGACGGATTTAAGAGGGATTCATCCCTGAGGCAGCACAAGGAATGGGGACTTTGGGGTGTGAGGCAGATGGGTCCATCCCCACGTGCTCCTCGTTCCCTTCATAGTCATCGGGGAATTAACAGATTTAATCCATCGCCGTGGGTCTTCCCATAAAGGAACCAAGCGCCTTGGCAGCTGCTGGAGTTAAAAAAGGGATTTTCTTTCAAGTATTTTGATTAAACGCAGCGGTTGAACCCGTTTGCTGACAGAAAAAGGGGTGAAAAGCTGAGATGTGCCCATTTGTAGGATAATAATTTTATTTTATTCCTTTTTTCCCCTTTCTGTGCCTGTAGCCGGGAGGGGAGGACGTCGGGGGCACAATGGCTTTCTCCCTCAAACCACGGCCACACACGTGGGATCTTGTCCTGGATTACCAGGCGGCAAAACAGTTTGAAGGTAACCAAAGGCAGCCGGAGGGGAGCAAAGTGCTGATTCCTGAGGTTTTCTGGGTTGCATCAAGCGAGATTGTCCACCTTCTGTCTCCTTGGCTTCTCCATCTCCAACCTCCATCTCTTGGCTCCTCCATCTCCAGCCTTGCCTGGAGATCCTTCATCTCCAACCTCCATCTCCAACCTCCATCTCCAACCTCCGTCTCTTGGCTTCGCCACCTCCAACCTCACCACTCCTCTCCCTTTCTCCTTGAAAAGTAACCAGTGAAGGGGATTTTTGCATCCTCTACGCTTAAGTTTGGCTTCTGATTCCTTCCCTGTTTTGCTCTCCAGTGGACGTGACCCTGGATCCGGCCACGGCGGGTCCTGAGGTGATCCTCTCCGAGGACCTCAAAGAGGCCACCTGGGGTAGACCTGGACGCCGGTGGCCCGAGGGTCCGGGCCGGTTCGACACGGATCCGTGCATATTGGGCAGCGAGGGCTTCACCTCAGGCCGTCACTACTGGGAGGTGGAGGTGAACGGGCGCTTCTGGGCCGTTGGGGTGGCCCGCGAGTCAGTCCAGAGGAAAGGCTGGGTCCTCTTCAAGCCCAACGCCGAGATTTGGGGCCTGCAGAAGTACGACGAGCTCTGCGTGGCCCTCACGGCTCCTTCCAACACCTCCGTCCCGCTCCTCAACGGCGAGATCGGGGTCTACCTGGACTACGAGGTGGGACAGGTCTCCTTCTACGCCGTCGGCAGCCGCCAACGCATCTTCACCTTCCCCGTGGCCTCCTTCAGCGGAGAGAGGGTCTTCCCCTACTTCTGCGTGCTCCTCTCCACCATCAAACTGTCCCCCAAAGGCTGACGCACTGGCGGGGTGCCCTCAAAGCTGGTTGCTCCACGGTGGTTGGAAACGCTCCTTGATGCTCCTCAACTCTTAGTTTTCCAGGTCTTGGAGTCATTTCCACCTCAGCTTATGGTGCTACCTCCATCTTAGATGTCTCCATTTTGGGTTATATCCAGGGGGTTTTGGGTCCAAGCTCGGTGCGCCTCATCTCATCTGAAAGCTGCTCTCGTGAAATTCATCCAAAGCTCGTTAACGGGAGCTGGGCTTCACCGAGCTGCTTTTGAGCTGAAAACTCAGGTTTGCCTCCCAAACTCAGCCCCCTCTGAAGGTTTCTTTTACTGACCTCGATGCCCATCACTGGCCGGGCTTCCAACCCAAACTAAAAATCTTAATTTTTGCAGGCTTTGCGTTAATACCAGCCGCTACCTCGGTTTCAACCTGATTTTGTCATCAGAAGGATGTGCTCGTGCTCACTTCCCTCTCCCCCATTTTCTTCCGCTGTTGCCCACGCTCAGGATGTAATTAATGTGCGAGTAATTATAAATGTTCCCAGAATATAATAAACACTTTTTTTTTTTTTTTGCTATAAGAAGGAGGAGGTGTTTGCATTTGACCCACCACCAAGCTGCCCCCGCCCCACAAAGACCCCCAAGGCTGCCCTGCCCCCCCCCCGAGCTGCCCCACATGGGATTCCCGACCCCAGCACCTCGTGTTTACATTAAATCCAAGCAACCAAAATATTTCTCTGACCCGGTCCCAGCCCCCGCCTCCCGCCTGCGTTCATGCCAAGGTGGGGGAAAAAACCTCTGCCAAAACCAACCCAACCCAAAACCCGCCAGCAAATTCAGTTTCACCCTCGGAGGCAGTGGCCTTGGTAGGCTTATTTGGAGGAAAATCATAATCCCTCCCCCCAGCACCAAAACATCCTTAATTTTTCATTTCCAACGTCATTTCCAACATTCTGGCTGCAAGAATCGGTTGGGATTGAGGGAAAGTGGATTTTGAGCTGCAATATTTGAAGCAGGTATTTACCAGGGGAGGAAAAGAAGCTGTAACTCTCAGCATTGTTATTTGACTCACTCATGCAGAAATAACCATAATAACAATAACAATAATAACAATAATAATAATAAGAAGGAGACAGATAAGTGCCCTACTCCAGGTTAAATTTGGCTCAGTTTTCCAGCAGTAATTATGAAGTTATTGCTAAATAGTGTGCTCGTCGTTTCCCTGGTAATACCCTCAGGCCATCTCATCTCGTGAAAATCTTGCAAGCAGCTCAAGGGCGCATTAAAAGCCCTCAAAAATACTAAATTTGGTTGTCATCGAGTGTTAAATAATGCTAAAAATTTAGCTGATCTGAAGAGGGTTCTTTTGTAGGGTGAGGATGGATGCGGAGAGGGAGCAGGAAAGGTTTCCTTGGGGTCTGGGCTATGCTGGGATAAACCCGGTTGATCCCAGGAGATGGAGCTGCCAGCTCCGCAAGCCGAGGACATCCACAATCCTGCCCCCCCAAAACTCCTCACGTTGGTGAAACGTTGCTGGGAGAGCTGAGAAGGCAACGATCACCAAATTGCTAAAAGAGGAGAAAACAAAGGATTTCGTCAGTCCTGGGAAAAAGCTGGATCCTTTAGCTGTTGCTGCTGAATACCGCTAAAAATAAAACCGTTGCTAAAATTCCGCTGTCCTCACGGTTACAACTTCACCCACAGTCCTCAAGTTGCGATGCTCATCAAAAAAAGTCTTCCCTGGACATGGTTGTCCATGCAAACATGTCAGCTTTCATCAAGAGAGATGCTCAAAAGTCTTCCCAGGACACAGCGTTCCCTGAAAACGTGCAAAATCTTTTCTTTTACTCCTCCTTTTCTTTAAAAACCTTGCTGGCTTTTATCTCTCACCTCACCAGCACATTAAGGTGAAGACGTCGCCTTCTCTCTCCAACCAGTTGGAGTTGGTCGCTCCAACCTTGACTTGGCAGATCATCCCCAGTCCTGCCGCTGTCGTCCCCCCCCCCCGAGCTGTGTCCTTGGAGAGAATAATCTGATTTTTGATGCGTGGAAGTTTCTTCATCTTGCTCTTGATACAGAGCCACGTATGGTCACAGGTTCACTCGGCTGCTTTGCAGCTTGGGCTTTCCCAAAGACGAGAGCAGCAAATCCTTGGAGGTCTTGCAAGCGTTGCCCATCCTTGCAGCATTTCCACATACTCGGAAGGCGTTGGGAAGCTTTTCTCGACCACCCAAGCCTGAAGGTTGCTGCTTTAACTCCACAAAAAGTGGGAAAAGCAAAAATCCTATGGCATTTACCCGTTTTTCTGGTTGCACTGTGCAAGGCTGCAGACATCTCGCTAAGCTTCACCAGACGTCCTCCCCGGGGGCAGCGGTACAGCTATGGTTTTCCTCTTGCTCTGACATTTAATTGCGGTGGGGTTACGAATAAGTCATTACCAGGTGTGAATTGCAGGGGTGCTATGCGTGATCACCTGGTATTTTTCACGCTGCTCGTATGGCAAAGCTGGGTCGGCAAATGCAAAGAGGTGACTTCGGTTCTTATTCGGCAGTTTTTCACAAGAGGCTTTTTTTCTCTGAGTTTGATTTTTCTGTGGGTTTTTTTGAGGTTTTCTTTTGTTTCCTTATTATGCACCAGATTTATGGGTTTGAGGGCTGCTCCCTGCAGCCCCTTAGGAGCTGATGCAAAGGTTTTGAGCCCGTCTTGATCTGTTGCTCTCGCTTGGGCTCTGCAGCTCGAACTTATTGCAAACCCAGCTCCTCTCGGTGCTGCAGCGGGAGGAGCTGAGCCCGCTGTCGTTCAGGTAGGCGCAGAGGCCACCGCCGCGGATCCGAAACCTGGAAGGACAGATGGGACAACCCACCTTAGATGGGCTCAGCAGGGGAAAGGAGAAAAAACACACGGTGGCTTTTTTCCCTCTCCGGTTCTCATGGGCATCAATATGCCAACATTGATGCTGAATTATTTCTGGTTTGGCAGCAGTACGGGTTGGCTGTGAGAAACCCGATGCTTTGCAAGAAAAAAAATTCATTTAAAAATAACAATCTAACTAACAGTGTTTTCCCCACCAAATGCACTGCTTGTCACTTCAAAGGGAAAAACGAAGAGCAGCTCTGGATGCAACGTTGCCTTTCCCAAACGTCATTGCCCCATTGCTACCTCTGGATCCACTTCAAGTGCCAGAAGAAATGCACGTTTCAGGGCTGAAGAAACACCAACCAATGACACAACGATGAAAAACACAGACTCACAGGTGAGATAAATGTGAGTTGTTCACCCATTTCCACGGTTGTGCCTCATCTTCCCGTGAAAGGCCAATCCAATGCTCAGAGATGCCTTTATATCTCATCACAAAGCTCTGAAGAAGAGGAGAGAGAAAGGCTTTACGGCAGGCCACGGGGCTTTGGGACATCTCTGGCAGGTCACCATCTGCAGAAACCTCCTTCCAACCAATAATCTACATTTTACCAGTTGCTTGTGCTCCTTTAGGCCTCCTTTGGTGCTTGAACCTTTCAATCTGCTACCGAAAAGTGTAATCTTTAAGGCAGAGCTTCTTTATTGCATAGAAATGGGGCTTTTTTTGCTATAGTTCATGCACTGGTTGGCTTTGGTGAGAAATTTGAGGTGACCCATGATGACCTACCCTCAAGGAAGCCATTTTCCCCATCTCCTCACCCCAGATCTCCAAGGAAGATCCTGGAAGAGCAGTCAAAGAAACCAAAAGGTAGCAAATACGTTGGTGGCTTTTTTTTTTCCCCATGCTAAGCACGTCCTCATGTCTCCTTACCAAGTCCTCCACGCTGTCGAGCATGGCCAAGGAAGCACCGAGTGCCGAGCAGTTGTCCTGGCTGGACGTCCAGTTCCCCTCAGCCTCCGAAAAATAGTAGCATTTTCCTCTGTACCCAATCCAGTCGAATGGACACCGAAAACAGGGTTGGGGACGCGGCTGAAAAGCCTGCACTGTCATCGATAGAGCAACAGCGTTAAGGAGCAGCACCTTCCCCTTGACTCTCCAGGGTGGGGATGGTCATCCTCCACCCTATGGCCTCCAAAAGTCTTGCATCTGCCTCAATGGTGGGAGGAAAGAAAAATTAAGAGACCAAGAGAAGTCCTGAGTGGATTGGAGGGAGAAAACAAGCTCAAATCATGGCCCAGCTTGTGGCGTTGGACAAGAACTGTAGGTGCTGTATCTTCAAAGAAAAAAACAGGGCGGTGGCCTTCAAAGACATGAGTTTTAAGAGGATTTCCAGAATAGCCCTATCCCTAAATGTTTGGTTTTCTGCACAAAGACTTCTCCGCTCATTGAAATGTCCCTCTCCTGGAGAGGGCAACATCTTGGGTTGGGCTGCATCTTCCCTGGGAGCATGGAGGTGGAGCTGGCACATGTGCAACAACCCGAAGTATCTCAGAGACATTGCCCGTGAGATGAAAACCTTGACACTCACCTGCAAAAGTGATGGCCGTGACGAGCAGAGCTATGAACAGCACCGCCATCGTCACCTGACAGGCAACACGTGCCTCTGGCTTCATCTCAAGGCTGTAACCTGCAGGAGAAGAGACCTTCAGCGCCTTTGCGGGGGTACCGAGGGGAGCAACACGCTCCAGGTCCGGGCTGTTGGCCCAAAAGGTGGTTTTCCTCCTTTTGCTTGGGGATGAAGGGGACTTTTAATGCAAGCTCCTCGTATCGGGCCATTGTGGAGAGCACCGAGCCCCTCATCTGAGCACTTGGGGGATGCTCATCAAAAGGAAGAGCCTTCCTAAGGGACAGGCATCGTTTGATGCCTAAGTAATGCGAGGTTAGTCTCTTCCCCACGCCAGGTGGACTTGCTGTCATTTTGGGTGAGAAACATTAAAAATTCTTCTCCACATGGAATAAAATTATATATTTTTTTTTTTTACTTTTGGGAACTCTTCCTTAGCAGGGGAACATTGTCTCCTCCCCAGTTCCAGCTGTAAACTCCTGCTCCGATATGCACCATAATTAAAATTATGTTTTAATTTCTGGATTGTACGTCGTTATTAAAGCGCCGGGGACTTCTTTCTCTGCCTAAGCTGAGACATTTTGGGTCTCGCAAATGATCTGAGTCATGGTCACTCCATCTCTGGGTCTTGTGATCCAGAACATGCTCTTTTCCCCCACCATGAGCAAAGAAAATCCTGTTTCTTAAGAGTTTTACCTAAAAATCTCAGTGTTTTCACCAAGTGGGATTTCCCTCATTTTTCTTTTAAGCTCCCCCCGCTTTGTCCCCATCTATCAATCGTCACATGAACCAAATCTCGTGGGACAAACCCTCCTTTCCCCTCTTCCTCCTCCCCTCCCCACGCAAAAATAATATTAGAAAGTAAATCAGAAACCAAATATGCAAATAATTTTTAAAAGCCATATAAAAAAAATTCAACACATTTTTAAAAATCAACAAATAAAAAAATCAATAAATCAAAAAAATCAACAAATCAAAAAAATCAACAAATACAAAAATCAACAAATACGTCAAATCAAAAAAACATTCCTCAAAATCTTAGTCCCTGGCTGGGTAGAAAGAGGTGATACAAAAGACCCCAAAAGCCCCTTTTCTACCTTATTGTGCACCAAGAGGATGATGGAGATGGGAGGAGGAGGCAGGAGAACTAAAATAGGGCAATGCTGAAGGGAAGGCAGAGATTAATAAATATTTTGCTGATGTGTCTAAACTGGACTTGAATCCCAGACTTATTTTGGGGGGTGTTTTAACACTTCAGCTGTTCAAAAATGTCCTTGTTCTCATTCAGAATAAAGCAGAAATTTGGAATCTTTGCGGGGGGGGATAAAAAGACCCAAAAGAAACAGTGACTCAGGTGCCTCAGGGAGGATTAATCATATATGAGAATAACCCAAAGTGTCTGAAATGAGACCATTTAGAGCAAAAATTCCATCTTCTGATCGACAAAAAATTTCCCCTGAGGGAAGTGCTATCTACAACCTCCCCCCCTTACCTCAGCTGTTTTTTGTTCTCAAACTATAGAAGTATTAAAAAAACCCAAACAAACAGCAATTATTCAGTTCATTGCTCTACAGTTACCTGCCCGCTTCCTCCTTTCCGCACCCAAAAATCCGGAATAATCCCTCGTTTCCTTCATTTTGGGGGTTCCACCTCCGCAGGTGCTCCCGCCTCACCTGCCAAGCAAAGTTTCACCTATCAGAGGTGTCACGAAGGCTGTCGGTCCTCAGCCTCCCCGTGGGATTTTCAGATCGGGGTCGTCAGCAAGGTACATCTGAGCGCAGGCAGAGGTGGGAACTCATCGCAGAAAAGACCGTTCCTACCCCTATAACGTTAATTTTGCACCGTGGGGTCTATAAATCCTCCAGCTGCCAGTTAGAAATATCAACGGGCAGCACAAATAATGACGACGGGAAAAGAAAGAAAATGTCATAAATTCTGGGGGACGAGTATTTCCCTCGGTGGAAAGTAGCAAGATAAGACAGTAGATGGAGGGTGGTTTTGCTTTTGAAGCTGCTGTCTTGAAGCAAAACCACATTGCTTTTCCAAGAGGAGCAATAGTTTTTAAGAGGACATTGATTTTCTCCCCTCAGGTAAAATGTTCTCCCCACAATTAAAATGTTCTCCCCACATTTAAAGTTTTTTCCCTGCAATCAAACTTTTCTCCCGCCAATTAAAGTTTTCTCCCTCAATTAAAATCTTCTCCCTGCAATTAAAATTTTTTCCCTCCCAATTAAAATTTTCTCCCTCTAATTACAGTTTTCTCCCCCCAATTAAAGTCTTCTCCCCCTGATTAAAATTTAAGTCCAACACCCGCCAGCCACCCCAGCTCAGCCCAAAGCCCCTTACCTGGATCCAGCCGGTAGGAACAAGCAGGATGCCGAGGTGCGATCCTCTCCTGCTAAGAGAAATGTGAAACAGAAAGTGTTAAAAAAATTAAATAATTTTTTATTTTGGTTTGGTTTTTTTCTGGGGGATTTTCATGAGGATCCTCGGGGGCAGACGGGGAAGGGGTTGCCTGACCAAGGGCAGCTGCCCACAAGGAAAATTGCAGCGGTTTCCCTTCCAGCTCCACCCCACACCCTCTTCGCCTCCTTTTTCTGCATTTCCAGGTGGGTTTTTTTTTCAGCTGGGGAGGACAGACTATCAAAAATGCTAATTTTGGGGTGCGGGAGGGGAAAACGCTTGCTGCTGGAGATTGCTTTGCTCCGGGGTGTTGGGGGACCCCAAAAGGGACCTCCAGGATGCTCCAAGGTTGAGGTGTGATGAGCAGGGGGTTCCCTCCAGCCCATTTAATGATTTTTTATATAAAAATATCTTTTTTCCACGCCACCACCTCCCATGAACTTGCATCATTGAGCCAAGACCAGATCCTCTCTCCCCCCACCCCTATTAACACCCCAATCCTTTCCCCCACCCCCAATAAATGGGACCATCAAGCAAATGCATCCAACAGGAAAAACACTAAAAAAAGTGTTCTTGCAATTAAGGTGCCTGGCTCCGGGTTTTTATCCAAAAAACTAATTTATTTTCTTTTTTTTTTTTTTTTCCTTTTTTATGTTTTTTTAGCAATGGCCGCATGTAGCAAGCAGGAAGAGCAAAGCGTAAAAACAGCTCACCACAAAACTTTCCGTGAGGCTAACAAAGCCTTCAGGCGGAAAGGAAAAAAA